CCCCAAAACCCCAAAACCCCAAAACCCCAATTTAGTCTTAAATTGTTGAAAAATTATCATTTTTATGAAAAGGGACGACGATTGGGAAGACTCTGAGTCACCAAAGAAGCCAAAGAAAAGGGTAAGCTTCAAGTAATAATTCTATAGATTTTTCTGAAATGAAGGATCTGTAAAAAGAAATATAAGCGAAAAGACCACTTGCTGAATCATCTGATGACTTTGCACAATACTACAGATATCGAAGACCCAAAATGCCAGAAGAGAGTAAGAAGATTCTGTAATTTCTACCCAGACTTGTTCGATAAGGAGGGGAATCCTTTTAAGTTATTCCAGATCGAGAAGAAACAGAAAGGAAAAATTATTAGAGGATCCTCCCCAGTAGATAAAGCTAAGGATATTAAACGTAGTATCGTTCGGAAACCTATCGATAGTCTAAATATTCGGCAAAGATTGGAGAAGGACAGTAAGGTCACTGATTGACATCTCTGTGGGATAAGATTCGAGTTTCAGCACTTTCTGGAACGACATTATGTTATTGCACATAATGTGACACCACTATACACCTGTAAGGTATGTCCACAGCCATTTTTTATCAGGAATTCCTTCACTAAGCACTGTATTTATCACAATATTGGTATGAAGAAAGAAAAGAAGGAGAAAGATAGAAAACGGGAGAAGAAGGAAAGAGCGCTGAAGGAGAGAGACTTAGAGAGTACCAAGCATATTATCCCCAAGGCTACTAGGACTTCACCTAGGAAGAAGAGTAGTAAGAATAATGGTATTGATGGCCTAACAACCAAAGAAACAAAGATTGATCTGAGAAAAAAGGAGTTTAAATATCTTAGAGGAACTAGAAGAGTAGAAGATGATGAGCTTACTACAAGTTCAAGGAAGGATGACAAACCAAAGGAGGATGATATTTTGCCATTGAAATAGCCCTAAAAAGAGAAGAAATATGTTTGAAAATCCTCAAGAGAAGGTCAGAAAGCAAAGCTCTAAGAGGAGACTAAAAAGGATAGAGACTCCTAGTACTAATAAGACTTCTCAAAATAGTCAGGAATTTTCTCTTCCAACATATGAGATGTCTCCTCCAAAAACTAGTGCAAAATCGACCAAAAAGAGATTACAGAATTCTAAAACAGCAAAAAAAGTTGGAAAAATGAAAATCTGAAATGAAGCTTGACAAGAAAGGAAGCTCCAAACCAAGGAAGAATCAAAAACCTCCTGAAACTTCCTCAAAAATTTCTGAAGTTTCAGATATGAGTCTCACTCAATGACATAATCTCGGCCAAAAAATCCTAAAAAGAATGGAACAATTAAAACCAAATATATCACATATTATACCCCAAGAGGTCCAAAATTCAATTCCAAATGCTCAAAATAGCTCAAATCAATCCAATTCTGCTTCTAAACCAGAAAAACTACAATATGATGAAACCTTAAATACCTTCGAAGAGCTGACCGGTCCTGAACATTGCTTAAACAACACATATTTATCGTTATTTTCAGTAATTAACAAATAACCTGGGGTTTTGGGGTTTTGGGGTTTTGGGGTTTTGGGGTTTTGGGG